GCTGGCTGGGGAATTCTGGGAGTTGAAGTCCACACTTCTTAAAGTTGCCAAGGTTGAGAAACCCTGATCTAGAGAAACTTCAAAACTCATCTTTTCAGCCTGGATTCTAATAATATCAGCCTTTAATATGAGATGTGTGTTGATTTTAACCTTTTTAATGTTTTGAAACGCTTTACATTTTAAGGCAAACCACCCTAAACCATTTAGAACGGGTAATATAGATAGTAATATGCTTTAATAAGCTCGGTAATTATTCGGTTCTAAGTATGCAGACACAACTAATGCCCAGCCTTTCCGGGAAGGGAAAAAAAATGCTCTTTCCGAATTCCTTATATTTGCTAGAAGAAAGGACGTCGTAAAGCCAAGCTCTACATCAGCGCCTCGCCCCAACCCCCGAGCCTATCCTGGCCCTTTCCTTCTTCCTCCATCTCCTCTTGTTGAGTTTATTATTTTACTTTCACTTCTGATTCCGTGTGGCTGTGACGGCCGCCTGCACCGCTGCCTCGCGCCTCGTTTCCTCTGGTCGCCCGCGCGGCGCGAATTCCGGGGATACGAAATCAACCGAGCGGGCTTCTCTGGTCGACGGAGAATTGGAACTCTGGACTTTACCGGGTGGATTACAAACGAGGGGTTTCACAGAAGGCGAAGCTTTTGGAGGCAACCAAGGGAAGGGACCTCTCTGGTGCAAAGGTACGGAAGGGGGTGGGAACGACATTAACGATGGAGGCAGTGTGGGATCCGATGCGTAGAAGCAATAGACGGAATGTTCAGGAATTCCGGAGTTCCGCAGTGGGGTAAAAAACAGTGACAGGTCCGGATTGCAGAGAAAGTAATAATTAAAATAAATAAATAAAATAAATTCTTACTATCATTCAGTAACGCTTAAAACAGTAATTAAAAAAGTAGCACTTTAAATGATTTTAAAATGATTTTAAAAATCGTAGTAAGTTGGCAGACCACACAGCAACGTTTGAGTGGTTGAACTGTAGTTTACTTCTTTATGGAGTAGTACATCTCACTGAATTTTTTTTTTTTTTTTGAGAAAGCAGGGATAAGATTGCTCTAGTACATGCTTGCGTTTCCTGCATAGTACTGTTTTAAAGTTGGTTGAGCTACAATTTTGTTAAGTGTGTTTTTTTAAGCAAATGACAGTTGGTTGAATTACATATAGCACTAAAACATAAACCATAATTTACTAGTCACAGTGAATATATTCACCTATTACAGTAAGCCCGAAACAAGTAAAGCGCATTACGATGTGAGAATCCAGCTAGAAAGCTAAGCTAAGCAGGAGATAATTTACACTTGATTCCTCAACCTACAGTTTTAATTTTATTTATTTATTTATCACATTTGTACAGCTGCCCGCCTCACATAGTGACTCTGGGCAGCATACATAGTAAAAACAGTCCAAACGCATAAAAACCATTTAAAAACAACCAATTTAAAATTAAAAGATAGAACCAAGATAAAAAACAAAATGGCAAAAAAGCATACAAGAGAGTGCATTCAATTAACTGCCCTACAGCCATCCATCAGGCTCCACTGTATCGAGGGATCCCCAAGCCAATGACAGAACCATGCTTTAAGGGCCTTCTGGAAGGCCAACAGGGCTGGGGCTAGGCTCACCTCTGGCGGAATGACGTCCCACAGGATGGAGTCCATGGCAGAAAAGGCTTTCCTCCTAGGTCCCACCCAATGAAACTCCCTGGCCGATGGGACCTATAACACGCCTCTCCTGCCAGACCTGAGGGGATGGGTAGATGTAACCAGGGAGAGGTGGCCCCTCAAATAACCTGGTCCCCAGAAGCAAACTGGCAACGAGTGCAGCTCGTGAAGCAGAGGTGTAACCTGTTCAGTTCTTGGAACACACATAACTCCCAGGTCCCTTTTACACATACTATTTCCCAGTCTAGACCACAGCCTCAGTACTCCCTGGAAGTCTCCCATCCAGGTACTAACCAGGTGCAACCTAGTTAGCTCTGTGCCCAGACAAAAATCAGCCATGTGCTGCCATCTGCTTCGCTGATTCTTGTCTCTGAGATGAATGTATTGCCAAAGGAAACATAAGATCAGAACTTCCTCTTGGGATTTTTAGATAAAGAGCTGGCTTTTGACAGATCGCCCACCTCCTTCAGCTCTAAAAACCAACATACGGAAGGAATAAGAATAGAATTGTTAATTAATTAATTAATTGATTAAATTTGTATGCAGCCCATCTCCCCCAACAGGTGACTCTGAGTGGCTCACAGTTAAAACCAAAAACCCAAGTCATTAAAAAAAATACCATATAAATAATTAAAATTAATTAATCAATTAAAATCCAACTATAAAACAATCCCAAGACACATTAGTTTAATAAATTAGTTGGGGCATGAAGAGTATAGAGATCATTGGTAGAGTAGCAATATTGAGTAAGACTATAAAAAGGAGAAGGGAGGGAAGAGAAAGGAAGCTTTGTTTGGTGTTTCTGGCTCAACAAGAGGTGGTCTGTATGTATCTGTATATGTTTAATTTTAGCGGCTTGTGGCTTTAAGCCTAGGGTGACAATTATTTTGAAGAGCTGAAAGTGGCTTGCTAGAAGAACCCTTCTACAGTACTGCATTCAGTGAAATTGACAAGTGGGAGTAGGATCATGCTCATAAGGAATCCTGCCTATGTGTGCCACCCATAATAAATCTTTCCTTTTACAAATACAAGGTCAGAAAGAAGCATGGCTACCATGCACATTAGACTGGTAGTATGGTGGGGCAATTCTTCCGGTGTTTGGTGAACAGAGGGTAGGAAGTTGTCTGAATGCCTGTAGAGGCTTTGCTTCCTGTTGAAACCAAGGCCTGAGAGGACAGTTGCTGTGGATGTTTTAATAGAGACCAGGAATGCAAGCCATTCCTCCTAAACCCAAGCTTCCCTTTGTTAGTTCTCTGTGTGTTCCAGCTGTGTTCTGGGGTGGAGGATGCTTCTTCTGTTATATTTTCTGAAATACATTGCAGCTACCAACCCATTCAACTCTGTACAATGGTGAGGAGCAAAATGTTTTGGACCAGTTCTAACTCTTCTTGCTCTTTCACTTCCAATCAAAGAAGTATTGTAGAACAGAAACTGTTCTCTTTTGTGATACGTGTCAGGAAGCTGTGACAACTTTCTGGGGGTGTAGTTGCAGAGATTGTAAAACTTATCTGTATTATACAGTGTCCCCAGAAGGTTAATTTCAGGATGCTAGAATACACTGTGCTCTTTATATGAATAGAAGGAGCTTCCTGGCCAAATATCCTGTTTGTCCTCCATGCTGTAAAAGGTCTTCATGTGGAGGATTGAGACCCACAAATGGGCCATACTATGACTAAGTTGTGTTTGTGTAGCACGCTAACCCAGAAACCATAGTTTACAAATCATATGGCTAAATCAAAACCAAATAAATTGCATTATATGGTTTGGGGATAGCATGTCACATGAACAGAGCTACTTGGTTTAGCATGTTGCAACCAGAGCTATGCAATCATCACTGTGTTATTCAGTCTGGTCTTTTTGTATCTTTTAAAGAAAAACATCTGGATTTCCATCTTGTGCTAAGTTTATGTTATCTGTAATGATTGATGTAACATGATATATGACACTCATTGTGATTTCCAAGCCATGGCTTATGGCTTTATTCAGTTTGTGAACTCAGCTGTTGTCACCTATTCAACAAGTTATGATCAAAATAAATCAGTGCAAAAACATCCCAAGACCCCCTGAGATCTCATTGTCAGATGGGTTGGCAATATACACAGCAGTGCCTGAAACAAAGCCATGATAACATCAACATGATGACATTATTATTTAAATGCCACAATTACATACTTGTTACAATGTCTCACATAAGAACATCAGTTATGGCATTTGCATGATGACATATCATACATGTCATAATTTCCCATCCCTTCAGAGACCCATATGAATATGTGTCTCTTCACTCCGTTCAAAATGAGCTTTACTGTACATGTGGTCTCTTTGCCTGTTCTGCTGAGCCCCTTCCACCAATACTTCCTTGTTGGCACCATTACTGAAGGACTCAGTTAAAGGACAAACGCACTGCTTATAGGCAGGTTCAGTAAAATTCAAGAAATGAACTCCACCAAACCTCCTAACAAGGTTACTGTAACTTGAGTTACTTGAATACTTTTCCCCTCACCCACAAAGAAACATTGGATTGCCCAATATTTATTCTCAAATATGCCTCTGCGGTATGAGCATTTCTCAATAATTATAAGTATTTTGCCAACATGAATAGGGTGATGAAATAAGCCTCTTCTCTGCAGAGAGACACATCCTGAGATTGTTAAAAGAATATGGGTGGAGAACGTTGGCTTCAAAGTGGTACCCAATTGCAGATGAGTTCCAAATGTTCACAATTCAGGGTCTCTTCCTCTCTGAATGTTGACATGGTCTAGCACTACCACACAGTTCCCCCTATTAAAACATAGGTTGCCCCAGGCCAGCCTCCTGCATCTCAGGGGATCCAGGTAGAAGAGAAAGCAGGAGGCACAGGATTTTGCTTGTATTGTTTTGTAGTGGCCACCAATATCTTTGTGGGTTCTTTTTTCAAAGCTTCTTAGTCTGGTGACCACTACCCCATCTTATGGTAACAAATCCTATATTTAAACTGTGTGCTGCTTAACACCATTATGAGTCAGACTTCATTATCTCACTTCCCCTTAGGACATAAGACCTTAAAATGTATTTGCTGTTGCAAAAATCAATGGAAAAATCATGCTTGTATCCCCTGGCAAACAGTCTTCAAGGGCTGAAATTTTGGCCTGATGGGCTGTAGAGATACAGGTAGTCCCCGGGTTAAGAATGCCTGGGTTACAGATGACCCATAGTTAAGACAGAGCCTATTGCAGCAGATTCGAGTTATGTACACAATGATTTTGAGTTAAATACACAATGGTTTGAGTTCATTACACAATACTACTTATACAATAATACTGTTCCAGTTTACATACCAACTCAACTTAAGGACAGACCTTGGGAACGGAACTCATTCTTAAATTGGTGACTACCTGTACTAGGTCTCCTTCAGAAATAGGCTGTGGGTTCCTTGCTAGATATTTGCTTTCTTTTTTACAGGAACCCTCCAGTCCTTTTTGTTGTTGTTGTTAGTTTCTTTGCAAAATAACAATTGTACAGGCAATGTTCACTTAGCTCATATGAATGAGCACTGGGCTCGTGTACGCTCTTAACTGCTCAACACTCGAGGCAGAAAACCAACAGTGAACTGTTAATTGCTTAATGGTTATTGTCTTGTGTGGACTGCATAGCCTTTGATGGTGGCTGGAATTCTTACAAAGCTCTGTTGTGTTAAGAGATGGACTTTGGTATGATTCAGCAAAACATGGCCTTTTATATTACAGAATTAAGTAAGACTGTACACTTGGAATCGCTTAGCCCAGATTAGATATGCCTTGATCATTGAAATAATCTGAGTAAGTGAAGATGTGTGAGGCCCAGGAAACTAGTTTGTTTTTTAAAGAAAAGATAAAAAACCCCCCCCCCCCATTTTTCAAGCTAATTTAGTGTGTGTATTTCTGATACTCTTATTTACTTGGCAGAAAGTGCATTTTGATCATTATCAGCTGGAGCTTCTGCTTGGGTTTAAAAATCTGGGTATAAAAGTTGTGAGACTGGATGTAAACAAGATCTGTCTGAAC